TAATTATCTCTTTTCGACTAAAGAAGCCTGTTGTGCAGGTGAAAAGTTTAAGCAATAAAGATACCCAAGTATTGAACAGGTGTCTTATTTTTCATGGTTTCGTCCATGACAGGGGAGAGTAATTTTAATTCCTTCAACAGCATCACCATACCCCCCCCCCCCCTCCTCTTTAAAAGCAAATTACTATAACCTGTTAGCAATTATATTCATTTGAATCATTTATGAATAAACTCATCTGTATATATTCATAAAGAACAAAATTTAATAATTATAAATGAAGAGAGAAGTGTAGTCATCCTAGATTCTTGGAGAAACATGATGGCGGCGAGCAGTTCTCAAATAAACATTTTGTGTTCGTCGCCTTCGGGACTATCTGAAACTACCTATAAATTTAAATATGCTAGGTTTTTTAACCTAAATTATCCTACATTTGCGTAGGGTTAAACGGGAGGGTAAATGTTAAAAACAATACCTCCCTTAAGCAAGGCGTGAGGGCAGGCAGAATATTCTGTGAATGTCCGTCGCCCGACACGTGTTTAAAGACTTCACCAGAATATAATATGTATATAAGGTTTCTTACCTACAGTAGTGGACCTGCTGACCTAACAAGCCATGGTACGGACCCTCACACTAGTTCATTGTTTCATAGGTGTACTCGAGTCCCATTGTGTGCAAACTAAACATGTGATGGTGGAGGCTGCTCCGACCCTCGCAAACACCTTTCACTATACTAACACAATCAGTCGTACCCAGAAGCATTTCTACCAGTCATTATGTCTTAAGTTATTAATTATAAAATACAAATAATAAATGTAGTTATTATTAGTAATTTTAAATAATTATGACCATTACTATTATTTTTATAATAATTGCTTCCACATTAACATTTATTTAAAATACTGTTAATTTTTAACGCATTATTAATATTGTACCAGTATAAACATACTGCTATTACCACTTGCTATATATTTTTAATAATACAGATGAGGTACTGATATTTATATTGCGCTTAGAATAAATTAATGCCTTCTTGTTTTACATTATACTTACAAGAGTATTAACTAGCACAATATTTAATCACCCTGTACTTCAAATATATACGACCGTCAACAGAGAGGATTGCGGAAGCAATGATCCCTGAAACTATTTAAAACAACTAGCAAACCAATGAGTAAATGTTCCGCTACCAACTTCTTCCTGGCACTATAAGTTTACTTAAAGGTTTCATTAACATGTGTCTACGGAGATAGTGCGGGCAAACAGCGCCATCACTATTCACACCTACTCACCACCGAAACCTCAAACATCTATATCCCTGTCCTACGCTCCTCCTAGGAAGTTTCACACTAGAGGATATTAAAAATAAAGGTGGGCTTCATGCTCCTTGACAGTATGGAAATATGTTTACTGTGCGTCTCTGACAATAGCTAAACGTCGCCATAAATTTCTTTTCTTATATAGCGAAGCCCTTATAACTGATTTAGTTTGCTCAGTTTCAGCCCTACTGACCATCCATGGGTCATCACGTCAGGTCACAATTCATCCGTACACTAACATAAAGAAAAATTAAATCCCTAAAATAAGGACTAAAGTAAACTGTGTGCATACAGTGAGAGATATGTACCTATCGGTGCATATATTCTAGTAGTAATTATAACAAGAGTTTGTAAGTGAGCGTCGCTGGAACTCATCTAATACTTGACAAAATAGTGGTGGAAACCTGCGCTCTGTTGCTCTTGCTAAGGTTTTTGTTGGGAATCAATTAAGGAAATGAGGCTGCTTGATGCTGGTGAAGGGCTTTTGACCCAAGGAATTGGAGCTATCCTTATCTTCCGTGGATCAAATTTAATTACTTTTAATTCCCTATGCTAGCATAATAAACAATGCCGGTTTAGAGCTTCCCAGCGGAAATTTTAATAATTTCCGTTGAGGTGTCACAGAAGTGTCCTGCTCTTTCCTCTTGCCTCGAGAGCGTTAATAGTTTTGTCGCTCGGGTGAGTTTGATTTATAAGGTTTTTCACTGTGTCTTGTCCTGCCTGTTAAGTCTCCTAACTGGCATATGTCCAGGGAAATGTTAGTTAAAAACACGGAGGTGATTTACCGTGACGCAAGCTGTCACGTTGCCTTTGTTTCCCCTCTCACACCTTTATTATATCTGCCTGTCTGGCATTCTTCTCAGAGAGTGAGAGAGAGAGAGAGAGAGAGAGAGAGAGAGAGAGAGAGAGAGAGAGAGAGAGAGAGAGAGAGAGAGAGAGAGAGAGAGAGAGAGAGAGAGAGAGAGAGAGCGAATTGTTTTAAAACTTTCATGTCTGGTATGCGGTTAATTATTTCTATTAATTTCTGTGTAAAGTGATGCTCGTCGCAATTTTATGTATACTGTAAAATAACTGAATGTTTATGTGCTAGTTAACGGGAAATTTGGATAATTCAACTAAATGCAATGTGATGAGCCTTACAGTCACTTTTTTGAATATTTCTCGTATGTGCTTGACTGTCCACTGACTGAGGACTGTGGAGATGGTATAATAATTTATGTTACATGACATGGTGTCGTATTAATGAAAATAAGACGCCAGACATATTAAGCGAATATCCAAAATTTCTTTGGAACAACAGATCCTGTAAGTGAAACAATATACCAGATACATTAAGCAGGACATCTGAAATATCCATGCAACAGGTAAGACAACTGTAGATATAAAACCAGATGTACTCCTGTTAATCCTTCTGGGGCCTAGTTCCTAGGCTTTTTGTATATCCATATGCCCTTGCGCCACCGTCCACAGAAAATGCATGATAAACTAGCCGCTTTATGTAAATTAAGAAACCCGTGGAAGAACTTCGTGCTCCTACTTGTGTGCCAGCCGTCCACTGGTAATGAAAATTAATAATAATTAAATACAAGTAAAATGTTCTCTGCTGCCGATTTTTATTCCCAGCACAAGAAACAAATAACATCATGGTTTTATAAATTTCAAAAGGTAAATGAAATTTGTGACAACAAAATTATATGCTGACATAAAAATAAGAACAGCGATCATCGACACCATGCCCAGCCCTTCTAGGGTAGGGTAGGTGCCTGAGCCCGAGCTTTCAGCTCACAAGACTGTCATTCCCATTAGCCCCCTTGGGGCGGGGATGGCAGACCAGAGAGGCCTAGCTTGTGGCTAGGCCTGGGGACAGTTGGTCCCAAAGATGAAGAGGTACTTGTGCCTCCTCCCATGGGAGACTTAGGTCTCAGACACTCCCTAAAGAGGGAGCCAAGGCCGGGCCACCACTTGGAAAAGGCCCGGGCCGGGAGAATACCAGCGAATCTTTAATAATAATAATAAAGAACAGCGATAGGCCTACTGGTTCATATTAGATAGGCCCTTCTCAGATCCAAAGTTTCTGACTCATTTATCTATCAATATTTGAAGCTACCAAAGTTGCTAGCTTCGATCACTCTGCACTTCGGATTTTTCCGATCGTCTACAACTTTTTTTGCATACCAATGGATTTCCATATCCTTCCTAAATCTAAATTTATCCAACTTCAATCCATTGCTTCGAGTTATTTCTTGGTTAGATATCCTCAGTATCCTATTTATATCTCCTTTATTTATACCTGTCTACCACTTTTATATTTCAGTCGTATGTACCCTTTCTGTTCAGGGATCTTTAAGCCTATGTCCGTATGAAATATTCCTTAAACAGTATTAATATTGTATTCCTTCGCTGTATGTTATCTAATGCATCAACAACCATTCTCTGGTAGGGACACTTAAACTGCGTCCCATAATCTAAAGGAAGCCTTACTAAAAATGTAGAGTTGTAAAATAACTTTTATAAGCTTAGGCACTTCTTAAGAACTGCTTTCTTGCCTTCAGATTTCAGTTTACCATAACTTGCAAGTTTTCTATAGACATTTTCTTCATTTTACAATGGCCTGAAATTAAGAGCAATACTAAGCCCCAATTAACTATATTTAATAGAAGAATTAAGTCGCTCATAAGGTTCATAGTTTAATATAGTTTATATGTAGCAATATAATTTTTAAAAACACCACGTAGGTGGTCGGCTATATCAATTTTCCTTTTTGTATTACGAAGTTTTTCAAATCTATAGGAAGATGAAACGTTATGTGATTTGACTGCGAGCTGTAAGATTAAAATAAAATCTACTGCCTATGTGGTTTTTTCCATGCAATATCGTTGTCAGCACTTTTATATACCAAATATATAGTAGACCTAGAAACACCTAACAACGCCTATTGAAGAAATAATCTCTCTCAATACAATGTATCTGCCTTATAGCATAAAATAATGTTACAAATACGATTTTTTGAAGTTTCTAATTTATAACATTGACATTTTGTAGACGTATTCTATGATACCGATATGATTAGTATTAATCTATGACAGCATTAATGTTCAACACGAAATGAGTAGGCATAACACGTTACTCATAATCTGACTTTTACATTCATGACCAATAACAGTAACATGGGTAGATCTTAGAAGTAAAACTAACATGGACCTGGAATGGATAACCATCACTGATCAAGTTAGTCAAAAACATATGAGCTGAACACCAGTGACATGTAACACTGATCTGGACAGCTATGAAGGGTAGTAAACACTGAATAACTGAATGAATATTTGCCCCTGCGGCCCGGTCTAAGGCCAGTTCTCCAAACTAGAAAGGAAACACTGCGAGAAAAAAAAAAGAGAATTAAAAAATATAAATGAAAGTAAAAACAAGAACTACTGAAAGTATAAATACAAGACTAGGATATTCCAGCCACCTTTTTTGTTCATCAGACAGAAGGAAAAGATCAGCAAATCTACCTGAGTACAAAACATTTAATAGTTTATTTTTCACTCATGACAAGATAGAAGTACCACCATGGATGGTTGCTGCCTACCAACCTACTACTTGTGATCACTAACACTGACCTGTCGGACTGACCTGAACATCTATGACCTGTAACAAGCAATGACTTAGAAAACTATCACTGACCTGGGCAGCCATGACGCGCTGACGCTCAGCAATTAGGTTACAGCGAGCGCAGGTGCAGTCCTTGAACTTGCAGTGCCTCTTGTGTCCCTTGAGCCAGCTGATCATACCATGGTTGCGGCAGCGGGCACACTTGGGCTTGCGTGCGCCCTTCTCCGTCGTGGGGTAACCCAGGCCCCCGCCACCTCCCACGCCATTCATGCCCTCCAGTCTCACCACCACGCCCGCACGCGCCCACTCGAGCAGGGCGGCGTTACCTTAGGGACTATGGGCACACACGACCTACGTAAGGGAGCACACGCGACCTATGTGAAGAGTGAGGGAGCACACGCGACCTATGTCAGGAGTTATGTTTTATAGATAATACAATGACGGAGCACACGACCTATTTCGAGAGGTTCGGCATAAGACGACGTTGTCCCTTGGCGGGGGATGATAGTTCTTTACACGACCCACTGCGTCGTTCACTCTGAATATAGTTACAATGGGCTTTCCTCTTATAAAGCAGATGTTTCCTTGTAGCTTTGCTTATCTTGGAGATATGTCTTATCCAGTACTGCTGTTTAAACACTATCATATGAGACGAATCCTTGATATGTTTCACTAAGACGCCATCGCCAAAGTAATGTTTTTCACACTTTATCCAAGCTGGAGCACCTGTTATGACCCCTCGAGCGTTGCAGGTGTTGCCGTTGATGGTGTTGAGGGTTCCCGTGACCAATGAAAGGCGTCGTCTGGACCAATTTATGGTTAGTGTGGCAGTCGGAAGCTTTCATCGCCTAATAAATCATCCCGCCCACCCACAAGTTACTTCACTCCTCGCCTTGTCACAATAATGGCTTCTTCAGATAGTTCTTGTGGATGAGAGGCTCTTCAAAAGGCCTCTTGACAAAGAATTTTAAGCTCTTTGTAGATATAATTTAGAGCAAATTCTTAGTTCATATATACCCTTCTTTTCCTAAGAAAAGGAGAACCAGGGCGGCCAATAGTAGCAACTCTGGTGCTTATCTTCCTCCTGATTGGTCGAGTTTCTCCCGAGAGCAAGAAACTCGTGTAGTGATTGGTGGAGAGTGTCCGCCGCCCGGGTGGCAATCAAGAAAGAGAAGAAAGATGTGGAGGATACTTTGTCTTTCGCTCTCTACACCGTGAAAAGGTATCAAACTCGCCGATACTATTCTTATGTTTTTGAATAATAAGCAAGAAAGGGTCTTATGAACTGAAATATTGCGTACACAAATATAGGAGTTAGATTAAGACACATAATATCAAAACGAAACCCAACTCTTTTCCATTCTTTCTTCTGAGCGAAATTCTACGGGACTGAGCGCAACTCAGTAGAAAACATTTTTGTATATGTACGTCAGTGAGCTGATGCTGTGTAAACATTTCTCATCATGTGCGGCCGCTAGCAAAACACACAGCCATCACACGAACAAATGAAAAGTCAAAACCAATAAACTGTGTCGACAGGTCTGGTGTAGATCACCCAAACTGGTGGATTTGTATGAGAGTTGCGGGATAAACTGTCCATGTTGGACTCACACTGGTGAGAGTCTTCTTGTGCCAGCTGCTGCTGCTGCTGCTGCTTCTGCTGGTGTTGCTCGCCTCCCCCACACCTGGCAACTTGAAATAAAAAAAAAATATATGAAAAAGTATGGTGACAAGTTTGTTTACACATACAGCGGAAGTTCATAATTTTAGTTTGAATGAACATACCACCAAAAGACCGAGGGCTTCCTTGGCCTAAATGTCCAGCGTCTTGATTATATTACTACATTATGAACGTATGGGTTTAGCTTTTGCCTATATAATATTCCACATTTCTGTATCTGTTATAATTTTATTGTAATTCTATACAGCTTATGCAAGAAACATTGTATTAGACCGCAGCTTACTCACTGAGACCGAAATACTAATAAACAAATGAATGGGGGATGAGATATTTAGACAATCAATCAATCATGGTCAAGTCCCAAATAAACAGAGAGGAGCATAAGTAGGGTGGGAGTGAGGCGGGTATTGTTACCACTCCTCCACACATTGCTCACCACCTCCTGTATATTATAGTACGTTCACTAAACAATGATTCCCACACTCGCTTCGTCTTCATGTGAGTTAATTATAAAACAACCGGGCTTTAGCCTCAATCACTGCCGCTAGGTAGGTAGCCTAAACGAGAATATAGGTAGCTGTGGTGGTTTATGAATGAAACTATGGGGGAGAATGGCTATTATAGTAGTAGCGGCAGCGATGATCAGTGAGAAGAATGAGGAACTGCTCTGTTTAAAACAAGTACTCTCAAGAAATTGGATGACTCGTCTGTTGCATACTAATGAATCGAGGTTGTTACGTTGGGTAAAATCTCGTTTGAGATGAAATGGTACATAAGTGTACGTAGAAAGCAAAGGAGTTTTCTACATAAATGAGATGTATAATATATTGATCCATAATGTAAATATAATCATTAGCTAAAGGTAAGAATCGCTACTTACGTTATGTGAACTTCGGTCTATATTTAATTCCCAGACTTCCGCTAGACCAGGCAGAGGCTAGGTTAGGTTAGGGTTGTCAGGAAACAGACAAGTGTTTCCTGACGCGGGTCTTAATTATATGATGACCCGCCGTTGGAGCTTTTGGTCATCTGACCGAGGCCTTCCGCTGGCTTACCGATCCACCCCTTTAAAAATTATGGTCATAGTTATAACCATTTCCTTTTTACCAGACAGAGGCAATATGACACTAATCATTATCAAGCAGACAAAATACAGCAAGTACGATAACCAACATTTTTCACATTAACCTGTCTTTGTTTTCTTCTCATTCCACACATTCAGTAACTTTTCCGTCTCATTTAGCTGTACTGATACATTTGTCATTCTTTTTCAGCACATAATAATCTTAATTAAAATGCACAAGCTCTTATTTTCTTTTCAATGTCTGTAATTATGCCATTGTTCAGTATTACTTTTTATTAGCTATGCGTATATACGCGTACATCTTCACAGATTAATAGCGTTGCTTTGAAGAAAGTGATTTAGGGAGATTTAATTAAGTAACATGTAAAAGCATCCTATTACATGCGAGTGTTGAAGTAGTACCAGAATGTTTGCTTCTCTGCTGTTATTGTATTATGTATAACTCACTGTAATGATCTTGACACTTGTACGACAAGACGGTTCCACCTCCATGGACGGATGCTGTTCACACACATTATAACCGACGATCTGAAGAAAAAAAAAACCGTCCAGGGTCATCAAGGGCATCAAAAGCAAAAAGAAATACAATTAACATACAGTTGTCTCCTGATATGAAATTAGTATGAAAGAAATTTTTACTGCGAGACTGCATATCTGCAGATGGTATAAAATAATCATTGCAAAAAGTTGAAAATCAGAGGATTTAAGCTTTCCGGAAGGTTATTCACTATTAATTTTTCCATAATTATCCAAACTAGCTAAAGAATGTATTAATTTTCTAGGGAGGAAAGGCGAGGCATTACAGCTACCAGCGAAGATTCTCCGTCATGTACATAATAAATTTATTATTATTTCTATTATTATTATTACATCAACTGGAAAACGCTAAATCCTTAAGGGCCATAGAACGCCTGTGAGTGGGAGATTTGATGAAAGGGGAGGACAGTTCCATTTCCTTGGATTTAACGGTAGCCTATTTAACGTTATGCAGTCTGGCAGGTCTGCTTTCTCTTTGTCTCGTGATTAGATTTTGCCGTCGAAGTGGCTAGTTTATTATGCACACCAGATCCAGCCTATTCGGTGAACCCCAAGACCATATTCCTACACAAAATGCCTAGGAACTTGGCTCTAACAGGGTTAAAAGGAGCTCATTTAATTAATTATATATTAGTATTTAGAGACTGTCATCCTTTTATCAATTACAGGGAAAATCGAGATGATGAGAATTTCTGAAAGCTTATTTTCATTAACAAGATAACTTGACATTATTTTATATTCCTTAATAAGCTGACAGTCAAGCATACGGTAGTCATGACATTGACTATAAAGATGACTGTTTACTTTTTATTTAATCTGACTGTCATGGATTATACATCTGTTCAGGTTTTTAACTGCATTTCCGTGACATTCGAATTCAGTATTTAGTTTTCTCCTTATTTTTAATTCTTGACACAGACATGGCAAAGTAATATACAATTTCTTTTAAAGTGCTTTCTTCGGCTTTTTTTTTTAATTTTATCTTGTGGGAATAATTCAATGCGAGATGGAATCAATAAGAATTATGCATTAATTTTTTTTATCTCTGTTTTGTTATTGCCAGTGAATATGTAAGACTACATGTAACTCTTACAGTCTTCAGGTCATATTCTATATAGACTTATTACTTTCCTGTGTCCTTGATAGTTCTTTATATGGAATATTACCTTTCCAACTGAAGAGACCTGCCTATGTATATATATATATATATATATATTATATATATATATATATATATATATATATATATATATATATATATATTATATATATATTGTGTGTGTGTGTGTGTGTGTGTGTGTGTGCAAAACAACCACTGTGAAAGAGTAGTGAAATTCCAAGCGCTTTCGTGACTACTCACATGTGTCATAGGAACTGATGTAGGTTTTCACAAAGTGGTTGTTTTGCATATTTTAAAATCACCTGTTTACTGTGATCTTATTATATATATATATATATATATATATATATATATATATATATATATATATATATATATATATATATATATATATATATATATATGTCGTGCCGAATAGGCAGAAACTTGCTATCTTGGCTTAAATAGCAACGCTCATCTTGCCATATAGGACAAGTGAAAATTTGTGTATGCAATAATTTCGCCAAATCTTTCTGAACCTAACGAAAAAAATATATTTCACTGTGTTGTTTAGTATTAAATTACCGTAAACAAATCTAAAATATATTTAGTTGGGTTAGGCTAAAATAAATTGCTCTTGTTATAATAAGGTTAGGTAAGTTTTCTAAGATTCTTTTGGTGCAAAATTATTTTTTTTACATTAACATTAATGAAAAAAAATATATCTTTAAACGTATAAAAGAAAATTTCAGAAAGGACTTAATTTTAAATGAGTTCTTGCTAATTGACCAGTTTTACATATTCGGCACGACTTTATTATATATATATATATATATATATATATATATATATATATAATATATATATATAATATATATATATATATATATATATCAACACTGCGACTAGCTGGGGGATCGAACCCATGTCGTTTTAGCCCGCCTCATGGTGAGCGAAAATTCACGATGCTCTAACCCACTGGATCATACAGTCTACAAGAATCATACACCCAGCAGAGCTAGGTGTTGTACCGTCATCCGAGGACATTCGATGGTGTGGGTGCCTCAGAGATAATTTCATTCTACTCCCCGTTTGGTGTACTAGCCTCCACAAGCAGTATATATAGCACTGTAACCACGAACGAGAGGTATTTAATTAATAACAACACTGCGACTAGCCGCGGGATCAAACCCGTGTTGATTTAGCCTGCCTCATGGTGAGCAAAAATTCAAACGCTCTAACACACTGGACCATACAATCCTACAAGAATCACCCACCCAGCAGAGCTAGGTGTTTGTGTGTGTGTGTGTGTGTGTGATCTCACCTAGTTGTGGTTGCAGGGGTCGAGTCACAGCTGTTGACCCCGCCTCTTCATTGGTGGCTACTATGTCACTCTTTCTGCTCCATGAGCTTTATCATACCTCTTCTTAAAGCTATGTAAGGATCCTGCCTCCACTACATCACTACCCAGACTATTACAATCAGCGTAGAATGACTAAATTAATACATAGCATTAGAAATCTTCCTTATGAAGAAAGATTGAAGACTCTTAAATTACATTCACTTGTTAGACGAAGA